GGCTAGGGCCTGCAACCTACCACCAGTGCTTTAAGGCAATACTGCCCCCACTGTAGTTTATCAGTGTACTGCTGCCTTACACATATCTCCCCTGCATGTCTATTTTATTTCCATTAGAAAAATATTATCTATATTAAATTTTGGTCCACTCTCTTCTCCCTTACTTCTACCATTCACACTTGAATACTTTTACTCAAATAAAAGCTAAATCATCTATCTGGTATGAGAACTAAATATTTCACATACTAAAATTTCATTGAATTAGTGTGTTCTTTATTATTTCTCAAGAATAGAAACTCATCTTTCCTATATGTTATTTCCCTTTACGTTCATTTGAGTAATTACGTAATGAGTCTCTTTTCCCACATTCGGTAATATGAGTGTGTAACGTGTATTTTATAACATCAGTGACTGGATTTATCATCTAATCTTCAATTCACGTTCAATTCCCATTTGTATATGGTATTTCCATAATAACTTCAGATATTTTAGTCAAACTTACACGTTCCAACATCAATAGTAAAACTTAAGATGTTAATTTTAAAAATTATGAAAATTCCAGACTAAATAACACTGGGACCACTTATCGTCATGCTGTTATGAGAGGTCCTAGGATAGCTACTGCTTCAACCTCAACTCAGCCTACTATGGACAGAGCAGCAGCTCCAGAAGGAAAACCACTCCTGAAATTCTGTTTGTGGATTTCACTGGCAGTAGAGAAAAACAAACATTTTACCACATTAGTGAGGTCACAGCCTGCAGATATTAGACTGTCACCCACGTTTGTAAGAGCTTGTCCACTTGAAGGGTTCATGCCTAGCTGTCCTGAAATGTAAATGGTCTGTCCACTAAAACAGTTTGACTGTAGGAACCAATGGCTCAAGGGTTTCCCCCCAGTGCTGATCAATTTTGTGATCAAGGATAACCTGGCTAACTAATTCTTTTCTCTTTTGGTCCCTCTGGGAAAACAAGCCCATATTCACGTCTCACACTCTGCCTTACTCGTTTCTGATACAACTGCATGTTACCTAGGCTGCTTTCTTAATTTTAAATTGACACCTTTTTCTCTGTTGGCCTCATCCTAATAGATTTGTAATGCCAGATATGTTTTTATTTAGAAAATGTTACGACAAACATAACTGTTTAAACTTTAAAATTAAAAATTTTTAATTGGGGAAAAATATACTTAAAATATACAAAAATATACCAAAAATTTGGTATATATGCAAATTCCATTGTGCATATATACCAAATTTTGCTTCTCCATTCATCCACTGACGAGCACTTGGGGAAAATATTTTATACGTGTAAAAGCTAAACTAATCTGGAGAACTACAGCTGGTACTTTACCAGAAAATACTAAGTTGGAGAGAAAATTTGCTCAGGGTGATCAGGGCTGGAAGTGGGGGCAGACCAGAGCTGAGGCGGGTAGATAAAAGGATTCCTGGGTCCAACTAAAAGAGAGGAGGTTCCAAAGGCGGAGGCAGTGAGAGTCCAGCTCCTCCTGCCAATGCTCTGCCCTGATGAACCGGCACACGGCAGGTTCTGCATCCCTGAGCCCTGCCGTTCTAAAGGAGAAATCGCACTAGCCTATTTAAGACTAATGGTGGAGAGGAGCTCCCCAACTGGATCTTACAAGCCTGAGGAAAAGCTCTAAAACCCTTGTAAGCCTGAGGAAAAGCTCTAAAGAGTCAGCTGTTTCAAACGTTTGAGAATTTCTGTTCATATAAATTACACAACATAAAATAGGCGCGGGAAAGTTATTTTTTTTAATCCCATCATTTGCTATAGCCCTTTTCTCTGCCCACTGAAGTATAATGTTTTTAAGTGATTTATATTTCCTTTTTCCAGTGACCGAAACACTCTTCTTTACTCTGGTTTGTAAACTCCTTCCTCCAAGCAATGTGGCGAACACACCGCGCCTTCCCAGTCTCTTGCATAATAGCAAAGGAGCACTCACCTGACTCAAAGATAAAACTGCAGCTGTGCTCAGCAGGCCCCACCCGGGAAGAGCCCCCGCTGTGACCCCTCCTCCAAGGATCTGAGGCCGGAGGCACCCGCGCGGGTAAGGAGTGACCGCCAAAGTCCCGGGGCGAGCAGGCAGGAGTCCCCACGAGTGAAGATGGAACGCGCGCGTGTGTGCAGGGGTGGGGGAAGAGAGGTACAGGTCATCCGTGCTCCTGTCCAACGCGGGTGGAGCCTTGTCGGGGAAGGGAACAGGTCAGGGTCCTCGTATACACCAACCTGGGGCGCATGGGCACCCTCAACCAGGGCAGATCCGCCACGGGGTGCGTAGGATGAGTTATAGTCCATCCTCTCCCCTAAGGTTCTAGAGTTATTAAATACAGACACGCAGTTAAATCTGAATTTCGGAGAAACAGTAAGTTTTTACTCTAGGTCCCAAACAGTGCATGGGACACGGCTGAACTAAAATTTCATGTTGTTTTGTTGAAATTGAGTCAGGAATCTTATCTGGCACCCCAACCCGCGGTCCAAAAACCGACGTCCCCCGCCAGGCCCACCAGCACCGGCAGGGCTGGGGCTGGTCAACGGCCCGGCCCGGGCAATTCGCGCTCGCTCACCTTCAGCACCAGGACCTCGAGCATCTTCCCCGCGCCTCCGCGGACGGCGGACTCGCCCTGGTAAGACACGCACCGCGCGGCCGCACCCCCTCTCTGGGTCCTCTCGTCGCTACTCACTCGGACTGAATTTTGGGAGCGGAAGCAGAGTCTTTCGTAGTGCTGGCCTCCGCCCTCGGTGGGGCCGCACCTCCTCCCCAGTTCGCCTCCGCCAACACCGCGCGCCCGGCTGCGGCCCCCAGCCCCGGCCGGCCACGCACCACAGGTGACACGCTCCGCCCTCCAACCTGGACAACGCCGCGGGTGCGCAGCGGACTCCGGCACCGTGCCCCCGCCGCCGGACCCCCGCCCGCGCAGGCCTCGAGGCTTCCAGAAAGCACGTGTTGCGCCAACGGCACGGACAACCGCTCAGCGCCGGGTGCAGCGGGGCGGGGCGCAGGGGGAGGAGTTGCGGAGAAGCGCCGAGACCTTGGGGCCGAGCGTCACGTGCTTCGGGGGACCTCGGGGTTTGAGGGGGTCACGAGGAGCCAGTTTTGCTCTTTGGCCCGCACGACCTCTGAGGGACCAGGGACTCCCAGGTCCACCGTCATACTTGTCCCCAAGGGGTGGAGCAACCGCCGTAGGGCCAATCGATTCATGGTTGACTGCCAGGAGGCCTTGCCCCCACTCCCTCTTGGCCAGCCTTCACTTCCTGGTCTTGGATTGAGAGTGTCACGACCAGCCACTGATGCCTGAGCATTTGGGGCCTCCAGGTAGCATTCCCCACCCCACCCCCATCTTCTGGAAGGGCTCACCGTCTCAGTTTTCTACCCAACTGGTCCTTGACTGACAGGGCTCCCCAAATCTCAGTCTTGGGCATCTTTGTCGCCAACAAAGTTCACTAACTGCCGCCTAGTGGGCCAGGTTCTCTCCTTGACGTGTAATTTTTGCTATTGTGAAGATACCGCAGAGGTCTCTGAACTTTGAACACTTGGAAGTCTCTCTTTTCTCACCTGAAAATTGGGACTCAGAGAGTGAGTCTCAATTAGATGAGGGTACACTATATGAAACAACACCCAAGAAGCGCTCAGGGAGAGTTAGCTTTTATTACTAGCTCAGGAATCTCTTTCCAGCCATTGAATAAGCCAACAAACAAGAAAGGGAAAGAATATGCCTTAAAAATCAAAGGAATTACGGCTAAAATAGGTGCTGGGCCTAAGCGGTTTTACAGGTGAATTTTTTGCTATTTCAATTTTGTAAAAACAATTTCTAAGCCCGTGTCAAAATGTGTTAGTATAGGAAGTAGCAAGAAGGCAACAGATTGCACCACTTTAGAGAGACCATGGCAACTGGGGTTACGTATTTAAGAAACAATGCTCATGTAACCACCCAATTTTAAAGATAAGTTTGATTTCACAAGATCAAGCAAGCATCATGTGCTTAAAGTCTCAGGCGGTAGAGTTAGAACAGAGAGGTGTGCTGACAGCCAGTCAGGAGGAAAACACCGCTGCAAAGTGCATGAAGTTCACCTGTTGCTGAATTCAGCTAACCAGGCCTTACCCACAAGGGAGGCACCTGGCAGGGCCAACTCACCTGAAAGCCCCGAACCCTGTCAAAAAGAGATGGGAAAGAACCAAATCTGATTTAAATGAGAGGTCCTGGAGATAGTTCCCAAGCTCCAAAGAAGCTGCAGAATAGAGGCTTCTCCCAGCTCTTACTGTGGGGTTAACATTTTTTTCTTTTGACTAGAACCCATGCTCCAATATGGTGTTTCCCATACTTTTCCACAACAGCTCACGATGGAAATATTTATACATCACACTGGGGTGAAGAGTCAAGGTGGGTGTTCACTACCCCGGGGCTCCAGCCACCCTGTCCCCTTGAGGCTAAAAGGTGTCAGTATCTGTCCCCCCAACAGCGAACAAGTAGTGGGAAGCAGTTTTTTTAATTACTCCAAAATAAGTTGTACATCATGGTGACTAGAGTTAATAATACTGTATTGCATATTTGAAAGTTGCTGAGATCTTAAAAGTTCTCATAACAAGAAAAATATTTTTGTGACTGTATGATGATGGATATTAACTAGACTTATTGTGATTACCATTTCAAAATGTATACAAATATCGAGTCATTATGTTGTACATCTGACACTAATGTTATATGTCAATTATACCTTGATAAAAAAAATTCCTCCACAACATAAAAAGATGAAAAGATTCCCAATGCATTTTTATAAGACAGTTAAATCCTAGTAGTAAAACCTGACAAAGAAAACACAAAGAACTACAGACTAATTTCATTTATTAATATAGGTGCTGAAGTCCCCCTAAATATGCTACCAAATAAAACCCAAGACGAATAAAACTAAAAGATAAGCCATGGTCATGTAGGCTGTAAGGTTTATACCAGGAATGCAGGAGGTTTTAATACTGGTCTGTCACAAATATGGCTAGCTCACGGCACAGCAAGCAACCAAAAGCTGTCATGAGCAGACTGGCTCTTGCAGGCTCCATGGGGTGATATTAAGTGTTGGGAAATTAAAGTCGCTCTTTCATCACAGGAATGATATTCTGGTTCTGCAAAGGGCCTGGGTGGAGAGTGATCTGTTCTTTTATCTTTTTGCTCCCCTGCCAAAGCACCTTTTAAGCCCCCAAGAGAAGGGAGAAAGGGAGAGAAGACAAAGCATTAGGAATGGCAGAAGGGGGAGTCCAAAATAGCGGGACCCCCAGTCACACTCAGATCAGTCTCTCCTGTTAGTGTGCTCATGATGAATGTGGGAAGTAATAGGGAAAAGCTCATCTAAGTTTTCCAGAACTGGCATAATTCTTAAAAATGGGCCCAAGAACATTCTCCATCCCCTCCCTCCCAGATTCTCTCCTTCCCCAAATGTAGTTCAAATCATCTTACCTTGGAGTCATCAGTTCTAAAAGGTAGTCTGTACTTCCTCAGTTTTAAAGTATTCTCACTGTTTTTATGGAAAAAAAAAAAAAGAAAAACAAGTTTAGCCCCAAAGTTGGCTTCATCATTTGTCAGCTGATTTTTGAGAATTTAGTTTTATTTCATAGACATTTTGCATCAGCTGAGAAGGAGTGAACATAGCAATTATGGCATTCAACCCAAAGGTAGAAGCCTGGTGCCTGCCCAGGGTTTTTCCCAGACACCTTGGTCATCTGTTATGGACTTGGTCTGTCCATCAGAGAAAGCCTTGTTCATAGTTCCCACTAATACTTGTATATCTGTCAGATTATCCTTGTGTCTAGCATATTTTTTCATAGCTCATTGTTGTGTTATTCACTGCAAGATTTTTTTAGTTTGAACCAGACACTATTAAACTAAAATTAAACTTTGTCCTATTGCCTTCTATATTGAATTCTCTTCATCTGATTAATACTCTAAGCTCTTCTCACTTTGTTTCCCTCTTTTTATTTTTAGCCCTCTTGCAGAATTGTTTTTAAACAACTTATAATTAAGTTTAATTTTTTCTGGTTTTATTGAGATGTAGTTGATATACATAGTATAAGTTTAAAGTATATAACATAATGATTTGATATATGTATACGTTGTGAAAGGATTACCTCAGTAAGTTTAGTTAACATCCATCACCTCATACTTACAATTTTTTTCCTTGTGATAAGAACTTTTAATATCTACTCTTTTAGCAATTTTCAAGTACGTATACGTGTCTGAGGACTGCAGTGTCAACTATAGTCCTCATGTTGTACGTTACATCCCTAGAACGGGTCTATGTTATAACTGGAAGTCTGTACCTTTTGACCACCTTCCCCCGCCCCAATTCCCCCACCACCCATCACCCACCACCGGCAACTACAAATTTAATCTCTATTTCTATGAGTTTGTTTTTTTTAGATTCTACATATAAGTAGGATCATACGGTATTTGTCTTTAACTTATTTCACTTAGCCTAATTTTTGCACAAATGTCAGGATTTCCTTCTTTTTTGGCTGAGTATTCCAATGTGTGTGTGTGTGTGTGTGTGTGTGTGTGTGTGTGTGTGTGTGTGTGTGTATCCATTCACTCATCGATGGACACTTAGGTTGTTTCCATGTCTTGGCTATTATAAATAATGCTGCAATAAATATGGGGATGCCGATATCTCTTCAGAATACTGCTTTAGGTTCCTTAGGATATATATCTAGAAGTGGGATTGCTGTATCATATGGTAGTTCTAGTTTTAATTTTTTACAGAACCTTCATACTGTTTTTCCATAGTGGCTGTACCAATTTACATTCCTACCAAGAGTACACAGGGGTCCCCTTTTCTCCACATCTTTGATAACACATCTCTTTTTTTTTAATAACCATTTTAACAGGTGTGAGATGATACCTCATTGTGGTTTTGATTTGCATTTTCCTAATAATTAGTGATGTTGAGCACCTTTTCACTTACCTGTTAACCATCTGAATATCTTCTTTGGAAAAATGTCTATTCAGGTCCCTTGTCCATTTTTAAATTGGATTTGTTTTTTTGTTTGTTTGTTTTGCTATTGAGTTGTACGAGTTCCTTATATATTTTGGATATTAACCCTTTATCAGATATGTGGTTCGCAAATATTTTCTCCCATTCTGTAGGTTGCCTTTCCATCTTGTTGGTAATTGCCTTTGCTGTGCAGCTTTTTAGCTTTATGTAGTCCTACTTGTTTATTTTTTATTTGGTTGCTTGTGCGTTAGGTGTCATATCCAAAAAATTGCCAACACCTACATCAAGGAACTTTGTTCCTATGTTTTCTTCTAGGAGTTTAACGGTTTCAGGTCTTACATTCAAGTCTTTAATCTATTTTGAGTTAATTTTTGTAAGTGATGTAAGATAGGGGTCTAGTTTCATTCTTTTGCATGTGAATATCCAATTTTCCCAGCACCATTTATTGGAGACTGTCTTTTCTACACTAAGTGTTCTTTATCAAATATTAGTTGACCATTTATGGTCTAGATGGCTGTTCTTATGCCAGTACCATACTGTTTTTACAGTTTCGTAATATAGTTTGAAGTCAGGAAGTATGATACCTCTAGCTTTGTTCTTTCTCAGGATTGCTTTGGCTATTCAGGGTCTTTTGTGGCTCCACAGGAATTTTAGGATTGTTTTTTCTATTTCTGTAAAAAAAAAAAAAAAAGTGCCAATCTCAATACAGATTTATTGACTCTATAGATGGCTTTGGGTAGTATGGACATTTTAACAATATTAACTCCTCCATTCCAAGAACATGGGGTATCTTTCTATTTGTTTGTGTCTTCTTCAATTAAACAGGAAGTAAATGTGAATAATATGGCTATAAATTACTGCAAATGTTAAAATAATTCAAATTTTAATATATTTTGTAAAAAAGCCACTTTTTCATAAAAAATAATTTGGTTCAGTAATCCCAGATTTTGTTTTTATAAACAGTAAGTGGCTGTGGGAGCAATGAGAAAACAAATGAGAGGAGGGAATCAATAGCTGAAGTTTTGTGATAATAAATACCTATTTAAGTCCCCTCCTCAGCCATCTGGGCCCTGGACAGAGCTGTGTCCTCAGGAGGATTGTGCCTCCTTTAGACCCCGATGGCAGGCGTGTCAGCCACCTCCTGAGGACAGGAGATTCTGGTCCTGACGTGGTTGCTGACCTGAGCAGGCTGCAGGCAACCCGATGGTTGTGTGGGAAGACAGTGCATAAAACTCCATCTAATGATTCTGGGCTTGGGTATGTAGGGGGTTGGGATCTTATCGGGTGCATTTCTTTTCCTTGCTCACACTAAAGTGGATGTACCACGCGCCCACATCATTAAACACACTTGAATTTCATAGAACTCATAGAAATGTTCAGGTATGCACACACATGAGGGCACTCACATATTTCTACCTGCCTGGATATCACACAACCACATTTCTATCTCACACACATTTACACACAGATACACACACATGCACACACACACACGCGCATGCGCATGCACACAGGTATACTGTAAACTCCCAGCAAGAAACCTCTTTGAGCTCAGTTCTCTAGAGTGAGGGACATAGAACAGGTCCACCACACCCAAAGCCGGCCAGAAAAGTGAGGCAAGCCATGGCTGTGCCTCTTTGATACAGTCACACGAAGACCTCCAAAGTCAAGAAGTCAAGGAGACCTCCCAGCCAGGCTCTTAAGGCCTCCAGAGGCCTTTCCCTTTGGCGCCCTTTATACCTGGGCCTAGCTTGGTCTCCTCAGCCCTGTGACTTCCTGGCCTTAGGCGGAAAGGGAGCGTGCCTGGCAGCAGGGCTGGCAGAGGGGACGTGGCTTATCGCTTTCTGAGGTGATGGCTGGGCCTAGTAACAAATGACCCAAACATCTTCCCCCAGGACCCAGTCCCTGGATGCCCCAGCCTAGCTGGGCAGTGGGCTTGACAGCAGCCAAGGTTCCAGGAGCAGGGTGCTTGCTGGTGGTCCAAAGCCCTGCTGTGGGCAGACTGTCCAGGGTGAGGGTGGGCCACCTGCGTTGGAATAGGTAGGTTAGGGTCATGGGTATGTAGAGGGGGTAAAGAAGATGGTCAAATGGTAGGAGGGACGGCGGTAGAATTGGCAGCGAGGGAGTACAGAAACGTGGAGTGGGAAGAGAATGGGCTGCTTGGAGGCTGAAGAAGGATGAAGGGTCCTGGGAGCGGACTTGGAATCTGAAATTAGAAGGAAAATAGAAGGGGCGTCTGGAAAGAGACTAGCACTGCCGTGTCATGAGAAGAGGCAGCGGAGGAAGGGAGGAAAGAGCCCCAGGCCTGGCCCTAATCAATCTGATGGACAACAGCTGTGATTGCCAGGTAGTCCTGCCTCCAAGGAGCGCTGATTGGGCAACTCACCTGTGCCAGTCCTGGGGCCCAGAGAAACTGAACCCCTGTCCTGTAGACCCTTCCCGCCCAGAGCTCCCCACTGTGGTTTCCAAGTGCCCTAGGCCTGGCGGTGACCAGTTTACAGAAGAGCCTAGGGAGGACAGAGCCAGACAGAGAGGAAGCTCCTGGGGGGAGTAGAGAGGAGGAAAAAGTGGCTCCTGTTCACTTCTAGACCAGTCAAGAGGCCTGGGGCAAGAGCATGAATATCGGTGACCCTGAAGCTCAGGACAGGGGTGCGACTGACAGCACCCCTCCCTGCTGCCCCGCAGACCTTTAAGAGTTTACACAAGTGCCAGTTCTCAGGGTGAGGCCAGGGAGGTGACTCCCAGACCTCCGAATTCCAGGCCCTTTCCAGGCCTGGTGCGCAGGACATTCGAAATAACAAGGCCAGCTCTTGTCCTGGGCCTTCTGTGAAAATTGCTTACTTCATACCTACCGCCATACTGGTAATAACCTTGACCCGGCCATGGGCGGAGGCCTCATTTCACTGCCAGTGTGGCATTTGTGTGTCCTGAACTGAAAACGGCTGGTCAGGACTGTCACGTACAGTTGGGTCTCTATCAATAGCAGAACCCTCCCAGAGCTGACATCAATGTATCGCACCCCCTCCTCCCCAGCCTCAGCAAAGGGTGGACCAGAAGGACCGGCTGTCCACTCTCCACAGGCCCTAGTGCTCCTGGAGACCCCAGGAGAACCAAGGCTCAGGACACCTGCATTGTCCTGTGCCAGGGTTGTCATTAACTGCTGGCCTGCTGGGAGGCCAGCCTCTACTGCCACACACACATTGACCTCCTTGGCCTCCCTAATCATGGTCACATCTGCATTCTATTTGCCCAGATGCCATAAACTATCCCCTTTTGACCAGTGGCCGGTCCAGCGAACAGTGTTTAGTCCGGAGACAAGCAGTCAACCGTCAGTGCTGGGAATTTCAGATTTGCATTCTGCCTGGATTTCAGGTCTCTGCCACTGAGGAGCTCCTAAACTCACTCATTCATTTTGAGACTGGCTCAGGTAGCTTGAATATAGGAAGAAAGAAAGACCATATGAAAATGCTACAAACACTAGCAAGCTGGGCTCTAAAACAACCCACTTATTCAGCTCATGAGGGCAGCTTGATTATTTTGGTCTGGGGGTTAGGGTATCACCACACGTAGGAAGTCTTATGACAGTCTCTCGAAAGGAATTCTTGGAAACAAGGTTCATTCACATTAAAAACAAACAAAAATAGATCTTTATGAAGAAAAACCAGTCACATTACTTTCTCACTACATCTCCTGAAATCACCCAATCAGCCATGTAACTCCAAAGAAAAGGGCGCAGGGCTCAGTGTTGGGAAATCCAGTGTCATGCAGTCTTTCAACTTTCCCTTGGCCACGTAAGAATGGGCTATGGGCCTGGAGTACTCCCTTACCAAAAGATAAGAACCCTCACAGCCTG